TTAAGAATTTTAATTTAATTAATAAATATAAATTTAATAACAATAATAACTTAAAATTAAATTAAATAAAATAAATAATTAAAAAATAAAAACAAAAATTTAACAGGTTAAATTCAAAATTAAAAACTAAAAAAAAAACAAAAACAAAACAAAAAGCTGGCCGAAATAAAATAAAAATGATGTGATGTGTCAGTAGGTTGTGGGCTGTGGTGGGCCATATGTCTCTGCAAAATTTCTCTCTTTGCAGGAGGAAAATGACTTGAAAATTAGTTCTTCCCATTTGTCTAAAATTCCCAAGTGTAAGTTTTACTATTCTAAAATCTCATTAAATTAAACAAATGGGGATGCCCTTACCTTGTAGTCATGTTTTAGATTTGGTGTTGATAGAACTTATTAGTGAGAGTATTCATGTACTATGTTTGTATAAGCAGAAAATGACCCATGTTACTAGTATCGTAGAGAGAAGTGAAAAAGCCTCCTATAAGCCTCCTATTAGCTAATTTCATTCTTCTTCTTCTTGCTAGATTTATACATACAAACATAGTACATGAATACTCTCACTAATAAGTTCTATAAGGTGTATAGGGCCATTGGGGCCTGTTCCTGTTTTATCATTTTATGGCTATCGTTATTTCGTTATTTTTGTGAATGATCGACTATTCACGATATACTTGGTACATATGCATTTGAAATCTGACTTGTATTCTATATTTGATTGTCTTCGTGCCTTGGTTGGGCGTTCTTTTGGTCGTCGTATTAAATCTATTCAGTCTGATCTTGGTGCTAAGTACAAGAAGTTGCATTATTTGTTTCTAAAACTTGATATTAATCATAAACAATCATGTGCCTACACTCACGAGCAAAATGGTCGTGTTGAGCATAAACATAGACACATAGTTGAAATTGATCTTACTCTTATGGCTCATGTTTCTGTTCTGTCTCGTGTCTGGGACTTTGCTTTTGAATCTGCGGTTTATTCGATCAATAAAATGCCTACATCTGTTCTAAACAATTCTAGCCCTCATTTTGTGTTACATAAGTCTCCGATGTCCTATTCTTTTCTGAGAGTTTTTGGATATTTGTGTTATCCTCATCTTCGTCAATACAATCGTCATAAAATGAGTTTCCGATCATCTCCTTCTGTCTTTCTTGGGTATCCTAAGTCTTTAGGGGGTATTGATGTATGGATCTTAACACTAACAACGTCTTTGTTTGCATGCATGTTCGCTTTGATGAACATACTTTTTCTTTTGCCACTAAGCCTATTTTGCAGAATCCTATTAGTGCTATGTCACAGTCCTGGGTTGTCTCTTAGTTGCGAGCTCCGGCGGTGTCTCCTACGGTTAATTTGACTACCCCGCCTGTAGTGAATGTTCCTGTGCCTAGGACTGCTGCTCGCCCCACAATTCGGACTCATGGAATGGTAACGAGGGGCATGTCTCAAGCTGGGGGTGCAATTCCGATTGCTTTATCTGCGGATGTGCGTCCTATGGAGCCTACGTGTTTTACGCAAGATGTCCTGTATCTAGAATGGCGGGAGGCTATAGACATAGAGTTTAATGCACTGTTGCAGAATTAGACATGGCAACTTGTGTCTTACCGTGCAGTGATGAATGTTGTTGGATGCAAATGAGTGTTTCGCACCAAATAGAAGGTTGATGGCTCTATTGAGCATCACAAGGCATGCTTGGTAGCCAAGGGGTTCATTTTGTGTCACATAGGTCTCCGATGTCCTATTCTTTTTTGAGATTTTTGAATGTTTGTGTTATCCTCATCTTCGTCCATTCAATCTTCATAAAATGAGTTTCAGTTCCTCTCTTTGTGTTTTTCTTGGATATCTTGAGCCTTTCAAGGAATATTGATATTGATGTATGAATCTTAACACTAACAACTTCTTTGTCCGTAGGCATGTTCGCTTTGATGAACATACTTATGTTAGTGCTCTGTCACAACCCTGGGGTGTCTCTCAAATGCGACCTCCGGTAGTGTCTCCTACGATTAATCTGACTACCCCGTATGTAGTGAATCTTTCTGTGCCTAGGACTTTTGCTAGCCCCACAGTTCGGACTCATTAAATGGTGACGAGGATCATGTCTCGGGCTGGGGATGCAGTTCCGATTGCTTTATCTGCTGAGGTGTGTCCTACGGAGCATAGTTGTTATACGTAGGTTGTCCGGTATCCAGAATAGCGAGAGGCTATGGACATGGAGTTTAATACACTGTTGCAGAATCAGACATGGCGACTTGTGCCTTATAGTGCAGGGATGAATATTATTCAATGCGAGTGGGTGTTAAACGGAAGGCTAATGACTCTATTGAGCGTCACAAAGAACGGTAGATAGCTAAGAAGTTCAACCAAGTGGCTGGACAGAACTTTTTGGATATGTTCAGCCCTGTGGTCCAACCGACCACTGTGATTACTGTTATCCTTGGTTTTGACCTCTTACTAGTCATTCACCAACTAAATGTTCATAGTGTGTTTCTAAATGAGACGCTAGCTGAGACAGTTTATATGCACCACCCCCTGGTTATGCGAATAAAGAATTTTTTGACCATATTTATTTTTTGCAGGGTCACTGTATAGTCTTAAGTAGGCTCCTCATGCTTGATTTACTCGTCTACATGCATTTCTTTTATCAGTTGAGTTCCCAGCGCAAAAAAACAGATGTTTCTCTCTTTATCTTTTCGCAGGGATCTTCGAGAATATACCTTTTGATTTATGTAGATGATATCCTGATCATGGGGAGTGACTCGTATTTGGTGTCCACACTCGTAGTCAAACTGTCTGCTGCTTTCAAAATTCGAGACTTAGAAGCACCTGACTTTTTTCTTGGTGTTGAAATCGTATGGACAATTGGGGCTTGCTGCTTTCTCATAAGTGATATATGACTGATATTCTGAAACGTGTGGACATGGCTGATTGTAAATTGTTGGCAATTCATATTCCTGTGTCTATTATTGTTAGTGATGCAAATGAGCCCTTTGCATATTTCACGAAGTATAAGAGTTTACTTTGCAATACCTCATTGTAACTCGTTCTGGTGTCTCTTTTGTTGTTAATCTGTTGTGTTAGCACGTGCATGTTCCGAATATGGCTCATTGGGCTCAGCTTAAGAGAGTGTTACGATATGTTAAAAGGACTTTACACTTTCATACATTTTCTGATTAAGTCTTTTAATACTGATATTCATACATTTTCTGATTTTGATTGGGCTGGATGCCCTTCTGATAAAAAATTTACGAGTGGCTCCGCTATATTTCTAGATTCTAATCTTATCTCTCGAGTATGTAAGAAGTAGCGTATAATGGCTACATCTTCTACAAAGCGGAGTACAAGGCTCTTGCTGAAGCAAGGTCACGTAAATCGCGTGAACTAGGTGTTCCTTATGTGCCTGTTTCAAGTTGTAGTGTAGTAACATTGATGTCACGTATATGTGTGTCAATCCTTTTTTTTTATGCATGTATAAAGCATATTGAGATTGATTAATAATGATTAGCACTTCATTTGTGATAAAATGATTATAGATAATTTACAAGTAAATTTTATTCCAACTAAAAATCAGTTGGCAAATATTTTTGTCAAGCCTCTTACTACTCTGCAGTTTACACTCTTACCTGACAAGAGTCCAACCTGAATTTGAGGAGAATATTAGAACTCTTATTGTATGCGTAATTCTAGTTGTAATATAACTCTAGAGTTTGTATATATGTTTACTCTTTGTGATTCTATACAATCAATTGAATCATAATTCTAGTCCTAATTAAATTGATATATAAATCTAAGGTTGATTTTTTTTCTTGTATGTGAAATAAAATATTTATTAGAATAAATTACACTTTTGGTCCTGTGACTATTGGAGTGTTGGTAATTTGAGTACTTGACTTTCAAAACTCTCAATTTAGTCCTTTAACTATGCAATTGTTAGCAAATTTGGCAATCGCCGGCCAATTTTCACCGAAAAAATTTAAATTATTTTTAATTAATTAATCAGAAGGGCAAAGTAGTCATTTCAAATCACCTCCTTCTCCATTATACCTGCTCGTCGAGTGATTTGCGAAGGAAACGGCAACCCAGTCGCTGGGCATCCTAAATTGCATTGTCATCGTGGATCAGCTTGATTCAAAGGAGCAAATTGCACTTAGGGTTAAACCTCTTAATTTTCTCGACCTCGTTCTCCGAATCGAACGTGCTGCACTTAGGATGAAACCTCTTAATTTTCTCGACCTCGTTCTCCGAATCGAACGTGCTGAGGTTCACGTCGATATTGGCGGCGTGGACAACATCGGCTTCCAGCTTCCAGGGGTTGGCAAAGATTATGTAGTCAAGTGACACGCCGAGGGACAAAACGTAGTCGATACTATCACCTCCACCTCCGCGGTCACCACCCACCGTGACAATGCCATTCCGACTCCTACGCCCCCAGCTCGTTGCCCACTCTGGTGGAGACGCTGAGACTGAGAGAAGACGGGAAAGTGTAGATCAAAAAAGTGGTCTGAATCAGAATCCCATTCCCATGGCGAAGCTGACGACGAGAGAACCATGGGCCTTAGCTAGAGGAGAAAACCGGTGGGAATCATGGACAAGCAATCTTGAAATGACTACTTTGCCTCTCTAATTAATTAATTAAAAATGATTTAAAATTTTCCGATGAAAATTGACCCGCGATTTGGCCGACAAAACCAAATCATCTAACAATTGCATAGTTAAATGACTAAATTGAGAGATTTGAAAGTCAAGTACTCAAATTACCAACACCCCAATAGTCACAGGATCAAAAGTGCAATTTGTTCATATTTATTATATAATAATAACTACGCTCAAATGATATACTACTATTATTATTATTATTATTATTATTATTATTATTATTATTCTAAACATCACTGTAATAGAATTTGTATACTAATTTCATCATACAATTTAAACACTTACAGGAGTTGACAAATCTAACTGGGCAAGTCAAGATCAATTTAGTAATTTGTGTGGTAGCTAGCAAAAATACAAGAGAAAAATTCTATATTGCAGTGATTATGCTGGTATACAAATTTTGGCAACACACTTAAACAAAGTTCCATAGTTTTGGTATTGCCCACTAATTTGAGGGCCATAAATGTTGTGCACAAGTGAAAGAATAATAGACAAAGTGAAAGAATGCCCCTTTATTATGTTAACACTTTAATCCCTGTAATTTACCCATACTGTTTCTCCCGATAAATAGGATAATAGGGAAATTCAGTAAAAATGGTGTGAAGAAAAATAAGAAAACAAAAAATGGATAGGTTCAACCTTACTCAGTCCAGCATCTGGTCAGATGGGATTTGACCAAAAATATCCGGACATGAATCCCACTTCCTTTGCTCCCTTGCTTCCCAATAACCACCTATGTACCGATACACATCACTACCTTTCTCCTTAGTAAACCATTGTGGCCTCCAACCTCGTTCTTGCATTCTACGAGCCTGCATTCCACAAATACAGTATATTTTTATGATATATAACAGATGCAGTATTCTACTTGCAAGACAGATTATCCACCACATAGAAGCATAAAGCAGAAATCTGGACCAACTATTCAATTACTCTTATAGCATAACATAGTACTCTCCCCCTTTGCCCCATAATACTATCCTTTGTGTTATGGTATGTTCCTTAAAAATACAACTGTCCTCTATAATAAATTCAATGGTTCTTGTAGGTTGATTTCCCCAACAATACCTCATTTCCTATGTTGATATAAATGGTAAATGAAAGAGAGCACTTTTTATTTGTGGGCAAGGATGAAGCTATAGAATTTAATTAATTGTTCAGAGTACATTAAATAAAAGTATTTAGTGCTGCTTCTTTTTTTTACCAAGTATACTTTTGTGGAAGAAACAAATATCTAGATCTCAAGGCATAAAATTGTCAAGGTGAAAGGAACTAAGGAAGAGCATATCTGATAGTAAAATTAACATCTCGCAACAGGGATCCTCAACTATGTATGCTCTAATCCATTGATAAGTTCAAATTATACCTGCCGTTGCCGCTGCTCCAGTCGCAGTTTTTCTGAGTTTGCCTTTTCATACTCTCCATTTTCCAAGCACCTCTGGTCAGGCCTTAGCCGAGAATCTGTTGGTGGCAACTTTTCCTGTCAATGACCCAAGCTGAAGTCAATCACTTAAATTATAGATCAAGAAAGTGGAAAGGACAACATGGGAAACCACTATCAAGGTTATGCCTTAAGCACTCCCGAGGTTTTAGATACAAGTATAATTCATGTTGTGGTTTCAAATTGTACATTGCAGAGAGGATAGAGTCTATTAGGGCCGAATACTTGTTCTACTACTTCATCTTTTTCTTTCAGAGTTTCCAATTATACACAGAACAGTTCTAAAGATCTTTGGTTGTATTTGTTTGAAACAAAGCATAAAAATATTAACTAAAGCCGTCAACAATAAAATACAATATAATATGTTACACTATAACTCACTCCTCCCAAGCAGATTGTTACTTGCGACTGTTTTCCATAGAAAGGATTATAAGAAATTTTGAAAACACAAATTACAAGAAAACACATAGAAAGGATTACTTGCCTGAATAATCAAAAATTTCAGAAACTTCAAAATTTAGTATGCCACAACAAATGGTCAAAATTAGTTTTAAATGACCCTCAGGGACACTTAAACATATAATCTGGATAAGCACAATATGCAGGACTACATTTATGCATGAGTTTACAATAGCTTAATAGAAGGAATTAACTATAGCATATACGCTGTGTGAAGTCTATGAAACTCAAAATAAACCTTCTATGCTGCTAGTTGTATCTGAGCAAAACGAAAGGATTCAGCAAAGCAGATAAATCTGAACATCAACATCACAGAGATTGGATGGGCGGCATTACCACCAAAGGATTCCAATGGAAGACAGATAAGGTTACCAAAAGATGAATACACACCTTCAGACCAGGGGTGAGCTCATTCAAAGTAATGGCAAATCGTGTCAAATTATATCTAGTTGGGTCTTTAGGAGGCTTGCTCCTTTTCCAAAGCAAATGAGCTTCTGAAAGAGAGTCAAATGAATTTCCTCTGGTGCAATCTCCATTCACATAGAACATGCTCTCATCCCATTTCCCAAATAAAGTAGCTACTGTCTTCCCACTCTTATCTTGGACAATTCCCTGTACCTGCAGAGTAAAACTACTTTAAGCATTCAACTTGAAAACCCAATAAGCCACCTCCCTTCACCCTAGCATTTCCTGCATATTTCCCTTAACTACAGTAGACGAGTAAAACTAATTTAAGCATTCAACTTGAAAAGTCAATAAGCCACAGTAATCTTTCAATCTCTATTTCATTATCAGCAAAACTAAAATAATAAATGGATGGTCAGCTGATCTTACACATCATTCTAGAAGATTGCATAAATAGTAAACACCATGAACCTGAACTGTTGAGTTTGAGTGAGAACGAGAGAGGGAGAGAGAGTGTGTGAGAGGCACCTGATGGGGATTCCGATCTATAATAGACTGCTCCTTAAATTTCAATTTACATGAGTAGTTGCGATTCCCTTGGATACGCATCGTCCCATAGTGATCACAATATAGTTTTCCTAGAATTAAATTATATATGGATGTTGTTACCTGTAGCATTAGCAGGGTTGTTCAGAAGTTAAAAATGTGAATATGACAAAGATTGGAAGACTCAATCAACCATCTAAATTACCTTGCTCCACTGGAAAACTTCTCCATCATCAAATTCTAGAGTTAAAACACCAACAGGATCCAGCTGGATTGAGCGACCCCAAAATTTGCTTTTCAAATTGCTATCACCCCAAAACTTCCACCCTGTACCCTCACAATGGCATGCTATAATCATAGGGTGATGGCTTACCTGAACCAAAACAGAACCATTGCTTAGTGAGAAGCATATTCAATGTATAAGTGTATAACTAATAAGGAAAAGGAAACAACACCTTCATCTCTAGACCTGTGACAAGGACATCATAAATGCATGGGAATAAAGTTGCAGGTTATTGCCCATCTAAGAATCATTGCTAAAATTAAGTGCACCTGAGAGTAAGGGAAGTTCTATTGCAATTTATTATTCCCATATTGAGGCATTTCCTAACAACCTCATGGTAATGACTATTGAGCTTTTTTCTCTAAAAATAATACAAAAGTAATAATAATACAATAAAATAAAGAAAACAAACATCTCTGACCTCTAATATCTTATAAATATTAACATACTTAAAATGGCATTTTATGATGGCAATGAAAATACATGGACAACAAATTCAAGCTGTGCATACAAATTAGATAAAAACAGAATCAGCTGAATGATTGAACAAAATTCAGTTCAATGAATGATCCAATGTAATTCAAAGGTAAGCCCATCAACAGATGGACAAAGAAGTTGCAACCGTAAGGTTAATGATTATGATAATAAGGTAATAATATGATAAAAATGAAAGAGACACAATATTGGTGGATATTGTGACAAGTCAAATTCCACCCAAGAAGCATGCAAAGGTGGGGTCCTCCCAACTTGAAATCAACACCAAAATACCAACATTTGAAAACTGGTCTAACACACTAACTTGGAGACGACAGAAATGAACAAGTGGTTGAACTAGAATCACATGGAACTTGATTGGAGTGAGATAAAATGGTAGAAAATTTTTGGGAAACTTTTTAAGCATGTATAGTCACTCTGTGATTTTAAACACCAATTAAAATGAGTTATAACCAGTTAATTGAAGGTGTTCTCTAGAATGCAAGTTCTCTCCTTATCAATAAAAATCTTACTTTTCTATAAAAATTATGATTAATGGTCATCTATTACCTGCAAGTCTGCAACTATATCATGATTTAAGAACAGAAGAATGAATACTAAGATGAATCATCCAAATGTATAAATCGAAGGCATAAACAGCATTAGTTTAAGCAATAAAGTCACCTTCTCTGAGAAAAATCGGACACCTTTATCTGGATAGTCAGCCTCATAAGTTTCCCCTAATAATGGATTGAATGGCTTGCAAATTCTCCCTTCTGTAGAGGCATATGCAGATACAGCAAATGCTGCTACGTTCAGAATCCTCAGGAGGCTGTTACCCTACCAGAAAACACAACAAATGATTAGGCACTGAAAAAGTCAAGCGCACAAGTTGTGCCAATGCAGGATCTTATGATGTTAATAAATAAATAAGCCATATCAAGTGAAAAAACATGAATACTAGATAATCACAAAGGTATTCCCAATTTGGGATACAATGACAAGCATGTTAAATGTTAATGCTTTATTTTGACACCCAAAGTAAAATTTAAAATCATAGCATATTGCATATTAAGGGGCAACAAGCAGGGTTGGAACCTTTGGAGTACTCCAGTGGATGTGCAAAGAAATAGAAAGTGTAATCACACTTACTAGTTAGGAAACAGACACTCCTAAGAAATTTAGGGTCGAAGAAATTTCCTCAAGGACAAGACCAAAAGAATACTGGCTCAGTATGCCCCTCAACCTTGACAACTGTATCAAGTAATTGCCAATATGAGACACAAACTGATGCACACTTCTATTTTCTTGAGCCACTTTACAGACAGGAATTAAGGGGAAATTTAATCATGTTTGAAATCAATTTTCACTTTGAACTGGTTGGTACAAAATGCTACATAAAAGAGAGGATAACAATTGATCAGTCTATGTTAAGCTTTTAATTATAGAGTGCTTCCCACAATTGACATAACCTTATTTTTGGATCAAGCACAAAGTAAGCATTTATGGCTTTTCACTGGAACTTTGATAATATACATTACTAGCTTTAATCTTAAAATTGCACCAACTTTCTCTGTTTTTAATCTTGTATAAATAACATAAATTTATATACTTCAAGAAGAAACATGATCATGCATTATATTTTAATAATTATTTGATATTATTTAGTGCCAAAGGAACTTGACTGAATAACAAATTGAAATTCACCAGAAGATCTTGTTCTCATTCTTCTAATGTAAATCCCCTTTTCACTCCCAATAAGGATTAATATGTTTTCCTCATATTCTACATTATACATAGCTAACCAAAAACCTCAATAAGTCAAATAGTATATTAATTTCATAAAACCATGAACATCTATTTAATTCCTTTGAATAAGCATCCTCACAAAAAGCAGCCAACTAGGAACAGTTCACTTAAATCATCTCAAGTTGGTAGCAAAATGGCACAAACATTCGATTATAAATGAGTTGAACATATAGATCAGATGAGTTTTTAAAGTAACGAGTATTCAAAAAGAAGCGGAATCTCATTTCCTTACTCTTTTGCCCCATTCATAAGCACGATCCAAAAGATATGAATATTCCAAGTCTTCAAAACTCTTTTGCAGCGAAGAAAGAGGTTCGTTGAAGTAGACAGGCAGGCAAACTTTTGTCAAGTCTTTCCCAATATTGTCTTTAATCATTGACCATAGACTCACTCCTTTCTCTTTCTCAACAGGATCTGGCAATTTCTTCCGACGCTTGATATAAGGAAACTTAGTTGAAGCAGACCTAATAATAGGGTCAACACTCTCATCTGATGCAAAAGCATATAGATCGTCATCTTCTGAAGAAAATGAGGATGTCCGACAATCAGAACCATTGCTTTTAAAAGAACTTGATGACAGAAAATCCCTGGTATCAAAGAAGGTGTTCTCTTCTTCATCTGTGTCTTCCTCTGCAGCATCAACCCTTTCATTGTCATCTTCTGAGTCGCTCACACTAGCTTCTGAAGAAAGCATCCAAAGATATCAAAGTATAAAGATAGAATTTGGTATTAAGTACAAACAGGAGAAAATTTTCCAAATATTTTTGCAGTGCCAATAAAATATAACTGAAATATCACCCAATTCTAATAGGTCCATGAGACCAAGCCGAACATACAGATCAACTTTAAAATTTATCAGATAATTTTGAAGTACGGAAGATGTATGAATCCTTAAAATTTGTTAACAAAGGTAGAGATGAATCAACAATAACTTGGCTTATTTAAATAAGAAAGGAAAAACAAGTACACAAACATAGCTGATTCAGGCATACCACTGTATTTGTCCTGCCTCAATCTAACAGATGGTCCAGCCCCATTGATTTGCCTTTGGCTCTCATCAACCACTGTATTCTCCAAATCAACTTTTTCTGTCTACACAGCATAACATAAAATACTACATTAACAACTTTAGAAAAATAAAGCACAATAAACAAATGCATTCTGCAGATGGGAAAAGCTATATAAAGAACTAACACAACAAAGTACAAAGACATTAGTTCATAACAAAGGGGTTACTCAAAGTACAATACAAGATAAAATTAAATTAAGAATCACTACATAGGAGCAGGCCACTCAAGAAGCCAAAATGGTATCCAAGTTCCTTAGGAATCATATCCATTTATTAAAAAAAAATATAAATCAATAGTTCATTTTGGAAAATGGGAAAGGACATAATGCAGGTCAAGTATTGGGAAAGAAACTAGAAAATTGGATTATTTTCTAAAGAGCTCAGTTTTAGGTGAACAACCTAATATGCTAAGAGTCTCTAGTAAACAATAGGGATGTCAATCTTAGTCCGAAACCAATGGGCTAGCCCAAAGACCGAAATGTTTTAGGATTAGGGCCAAAAATATTTAGCACATAAAAAAACAGCCCAATAAGCCCGATGGCCCAAGCAGCTGGCTCGATAGCCCAAGCCACTTGAGGCTATTCTTTGTTTCACAAATGATGTTGAACAAAACTTACATGGAGTTTATATGTAAGCTTATATTTAGTATTTTTTAATTAAATTTGTAAATAAGATATTAATAAATAAATTAATAAATATATTACAAAATAAAATATTTTAATGAAAAATACAAAACTTTGTGTAATTATTACATTATAGTATAAATACATTAATTATTTTTAGTTGGAATTTAGAAATGGAGGTTTATATTGATTGAATGATGTATAAGTTTATATTTATTAGTGTAAATCCGCTAATTTATTAAAATTGAAAGTTTAGAATTTTAATTTGAAAATGTCAAAAGTTTTAGTTGAGCCCACCCGATAAGCCCAACAACCCGAAGTTTTAGGGTTAGGGTCAAGAATTTTAAACCATACCTAAAAAAAATGATAAGCCCGACAACCCAATAGGGCTAGCCCGATTGATATCCCAAGTAAACAGAAATGAACTTACAATAGAAGCTTAAGCATAAAAACCATGTTAGTTTCCCTAGTCAAGGTTCATCCTAGAATGGTTACCAGCAATTGCAAGTTTATTGTTACTAATACTGCAATATTAAGGAAAATTTTGCTTATCCTTTAGTGAGCAGAAGCAGTTCATTTCTTCATTGACCTAATAATTTAGTATGATCCTCCAGAACATTTATGATCAGCCTCAAGGAAACACTATTTCCATTCTCAAAGCAGTTTCATCAATTATAGTAATTCCAAGCTGGTAAGAGTTTGCAGTTCCAACTAATACCATATACACTGACCACAAACAGCATTAACATCTAGTCAGATAACTCCCAAGTAAATAAAATGTGCATCTATTATTCAAGTAACTAAATATGAACCCATTCTGTAAGTAAGACCAAACCAACACCAAATATTATTCATGGGCAATAAACAATAAAGATCATAGTATAAACAAAAATTTTACAGTATCACCGTGTATGATTTAAGGAAATGTGCAAAGAATTTGTGATATTCATTCTTCCAATGAAAAACATGTACACAGGGGATGAAGGGAGTTGGAGATTCATTTAAAAGTGTCATAGTTATTGAACAATGACAGACTATTTTGTATAGGAATGTTATAGTTAACTAAAGAGTAGGGTTAAATTACCAACATCTTGAAAAGGGGATGGTCATCGACCATGCAAGGAATGTAGACATTGCATGCATTAAATACTTAAAGAGGATGGACCGGTACTGTTTTTATGGTTTAAGCTCAAGTTGTCGATGGTTGAGCAACAAGTCTAGCCTTCCACTAATTTCCTGTCTAGTTCATTGAATTCAGGGGTTGACCGGGAATAAAACTGGCTTGAAATAGACTACTTGAAAAGGATGTGATTGAGTTTGAAGGAAATAAAATAAGCCTATTCAAGAAAGTTATTTAGAAACAGTTATAATGAATCCATGTACCATAGCAGTTTCAGCATAAACATTGATGAAAATTTCACCAATACTTTGGCACTTTGCAGTAAGATCTAAACAAATCATACTATGCAACCACAAACTGTAGACTTGACATTTCTAAATTCTAACATTAGCTACATAGAACCACACCAGATTTTTCTACATCTTATATGTAGGATTTGGCATGAAAATAAATAAATAAGCCTTGTCAATGAATTTTGTGGAGAACACTTGCAACAAACAAACACAGAACAAATATTTGAATAAAAGCATAAAACAAACAACTTTTGCTAGTATTTTCCTGAAAAAGTTTGGCAGTTTAATCTCTAGGATGGCATATCTGACATTATCTTTATAATATTACATTCCATGTTTCAACATTATTAAGCCATACATAATTGGTAGAAGGAAGCCTTTCCCTTAGAAGCCTGCAATGAATATTACATTCACACCCAATCAATAATAAGAGTAAAAACCTTCTCTGAAATAAGTGAATCTATGTATATCTTCCTTAGACCCTGAATAATACCAGAGCCTGGCATATTGAGCTAAATCTTTCAAATACACTGAACTGAAACATTTTTTTTTTTTAAATCCTGGATTCGAAATAGTTCAGAGCAATTTTTTTACACCAAGAAAGCAAATCTAACACAAATAGGAACGTAACTTGTATCATGCATTTGTTCTAGTTCAAGGACATGGATGCAGTAGGTGTTAGGCGCTAGTCAGGCAGTAGAGGAGCGCCTAGGCGGCTGACTGAAAAATAGAACAGTGCACGTGTGTGGGTGTATGTCAATATATATACACACACACATATATATATATATTAGCAAGGCTTACTCGGCCGAGTTAACTCGGCCAAGTTCGCTGCAAACTTGGTTGAGTCGGCCAAGTTGGGCGCCTAGTCGGCCGGCCGCCTAGGGGGTAATTCGCCTCGGCCTAGGGGCACCTAGCGCCTAGGTCGACTTTTACAACAGTGTTCAAGGACCTCAATTCTGTTAGCCAAGATCAAACATCAATATAAGATGGCACTTACTTGAGCAGATAGCAATGTGTTTGAAGCCATTAGAAATTAAGCTTATCAGATACCGTCACTAACATCTATTCATTTCAAATTTCAATCATTTTAAAAAGTTGTATCAATTGGTACAAAAAAGTTCAAAAATTCAAAGTCCAGATTATATGAAAGAATAGGCAAATGAATAAAATAATTACAGGATTTACAGCAATTCACAACAAGGACACAGACAATTCATTGCAGAAGAAACGCGAGAATTTTGAATTTATAGCAAATTGTTATGTACTAGTAATCATAATTGGTACCTCTAAATGGCGAAGTGTGTCAATGAGGAGCCAATGCTTCTGTTTTAGCAGAAACAATTGATTCTGCAGAGATGCAAACTCATCCCTCATAATCTGCTCACTGTCCTGGATGGCAGCCTCATTTACCTGCTCTTCCATCAGGCGCTTTCGTAACTTCTCTGTTGAAACAGAAATGTTATCCAAAGGAGCCATTAACTCACTGTTGGAAAGTCTGGGGAACATATCCTTTACAGTTTGCAGTGCTTCTATCCAAGCAATTCTATCTTCTCTGGTCTCAGCCCTCAAGTGCAGCCTCTTTGTTCCCGTGAAAATTGAAAACCTTTTGTCATCTGATCTGCTCTCACGGATTGATGAAACCTATAAGAAACTACTTAGATTGTAAAACAGCTAATTGTATAAATTTCATACTATGTGCATTAGGTAAAATTAAAATGGCACTATGGAAAAAAAAAAAAAAAAAAAAAAAAACCAAAACAAAATACTAGAATGTGTTCTCGCCAGATAGAGATGAAAAGCACATTACATGTATTGCAAGAGAAAGAAGCCACGACCAATTGATATCAAGTTGAGTTTGTATGCAAACAATACTACAAACTAATTCACTGATTCTATTTCTTGATTCCAATTCTCAGCAGCACAATTACTTAATATATCTTCATTGCTTAAAAGCTATAATCCAAAATAGAAATGTTTCCATGAAGAGTTGCATCAAAGTCCATATACAAGTCAACTGCAACAAGCTGGAAACCATTATAAAGAATTGCATCAAGTAGTCACTTAAGATTACTCCATATAAGCTCCACATAAGCTCCATTAAGTTTGGCCAAATGATGGAGTAAATGAAGCAGATCCACCATTGAATTATGCAAGCATGCCACTATTCTAGAATACAATGGAAAGAACATTACTTTACTAGATTCTTCGAACCAAAAGACTATGAATGCACAAGGAAGCCTAGTTACTGGTATACAGTCATAAGGAATGTGATTATTGAGTTTTTAGACTCTACTATTATTTAATAACTTCCCATTGTGCTTTTGCCTATTGGGAAGTAATCAGATTGGGAACATTTTCATTGCCACATCTTTGAACCTTGTTAAATTCAAGTTCAAGCATCTGCTACTCTTGTTCTATATCACCAAATAAGCTGATCTGTGTACTTATGCTACTAAAATCATATTAAATAAACTAACACAAAAATAATGCAAAATGATCAAAAGAACAGTGCTATTTCTTATCAGCTAAAAATCTCCATAAATAGAAGAATTCCAAATAGAATTAGAAAGGCAGATTCACACTTATGAATAAAACAGTTTGCATCAAAACGCAATCAATGACAAAGAACGCAGAAGTAGTTGAACCTTGAGATGAACTTCGCCGAGAGGCTTTCGGCGTGGCTGTGAGGTATTAGAATTGCTATGCTTATGGGGACGGGATATTCTACGCAGCGACTCCTCGCCGATGACCTTCGAACCTTTCTCGGTTTCGAAACTGACGACGATCTTATCAGGCCCGTGGATCTTATAGTAAGACAAAACTCCGTCCTGCAATACAAACCACCTCGGCCTCCATCCCTTGCCGTAGTTCACCCACTTGTACAGAACTCCCGAAATGCCATTACCGACTATCTCGTTGATCTTCACTTGCTGCTCTCTCTGGTGTTGCTGGCTATCCACTCCGCCGAACGTCAGCTGCGTCGCCTCCCTCATCGACGGCGGCCGCGACATGGACAACACCTTCCCCGAAGCCGACGACGACGACTCGGTCAAATTCCGAGTATTAGAACTGGAATTGTTGTGATGATAGTGATTTTGACTGCTGGAGACTGTCCACGAATCGGAGGATCTGGAGGCAGCGGACGACGCCGGAGGCGGCAGGGGCGGCGGAGACATGGACAACAGCGAGGAATCACGGTGGTTACTGTTAACGGTGGAAACGCAGCAGAACGGATGCATAGCGTAGCATAACAAAAATCAAATATTCGACGGAAACTTTATGCTCCGGCGAGAATATTCTCATTCTCGTGGAATTATACTCCGCGTTTTCATATTCCTTTCTTTGGGAAATCAAAGTACAATATACGAACAGATATAGATGAAGCGAGGCGTCAACAAACTGGTGCCGGAGATCAAAACTGGAAAAGAAATTTCCAGCGATGTATGGTGACGTGGCGGAGGAAAAGGAGAAAACGAGCACGGGAAGGAAAGACCCGGATATTTAGGGGAACGTTTGGGTAGAACCGAAAAGGTATGAGAGTTTAAATATGGGGCGGTTGAAATGAGGAGTGACTTGGAAGCCAGGCCGGCGGACGTGAGATGAGAGAGTGACGGGTGGGTGATCACTGCTTCGACACGTTTCGACAAAACACTGGTAGAAAACAGTTAAATTTACGTGTCGAGAAAACAATGGTGGAATACAATTTATACTGTGATAAACTCGGTATTTGTTTTTTTTTTTAATTAATTTTTTAACATTCTGGAGGCCTCCTTGTCAGAGCACAAGGCAATGAGGGATCCCTCTCCATATTTCAGTCAACTTGGAATGTTGTGCTCATTTTAAGTTAATGATCAGTTTGGAAAGTATGAAAATGTTTTTTAAAAAATAATTATTTTTTAGGAAATATTTTTTTTGATGTTTGGTTGCAACAACATAAAATTGTCTTTGTGTGTTTGATTTATTTTTCATAAAATGAACAAGAAAATAAGTAAAATTGTATGCTTCATCATTTTGATTGTTATAATGAGAAGAGAGATTTAGCTTTGTCTAGAACTGTATAATATTTAAATCTATTAAAAACTCCAAACAATAAATTTATTTTTTAAAAAAATAAATAAAAGTGGATTGGTTTCCCAAGCTGGAAACCAGACCAGATAACTGGTTTAGTTTCTGTGCCAGAAACCAATCGCCAGAACCAAGCTAGGGGTCTGGTTTGGTTTCCGGCAAGAAAACCAAACTGGTTTCTAACTTGGAAAACCATATCTATGGGTTTCCAAGTCGGAAACCAATACGTTTCCGGTTGTGGGTACGTCGAAAATTGTTTCCGGTGGTCAAGAAGTTGGCATTGGTGAATGTCGTGAAGAAGAAGGTCTATGTAGTCTCTGTGCGAAAAAGGAAGCTGCGTTGGTGGTCTCTGGTCTCTGTGCGAAGAAAAGAAGCGGAAAATGACTTCCCGTAAAAAAGAAAAAAAAAAAAAAAAGTCATTTTCTATAAAAATGACTCCATTTTTCATTGAAGTAACTTCGTGAGGTAATATTTGTTTTCATGATACAATTGCCAGTAAAAAGAAAAAAATAAATTAAGGAAAATTGTGTCAGCCTAAAGCTCGTGTGGTTAGTGTGCTTAAGGTGCATAGTTTGTGTACTTAAGATGTGTGGGCCTAAAACTTTAGGTGCGTGGTTTGTGTACTTAAGGTGTGCGGGCCTAACACTTTGGGGTACCAGTTTCGAACTCTGGACCTATGGGTTGGAGTTATCTTCCTCCAACCACCAGAGTTAAGAGGAACCGGTCGCGAGCCTAACACTTTAGGTGTGTGATTTGTGTACTTAAGGTGCGTCATTTTAATGCTTAAAGTGTGTCTTTTTGAGTTAACCGCACGGTAAGCTATATCCGCACCTGAACCATTCTATATATATATATATATATATATATATATATATATATATATATATATATATATAAAGTCAGGTTTAAATAAGAAAAAAAAAATAAAAACCCCTCCTGTAAACAAAGAATATATAGCATCAATTTTATAATCTCAAATTTATATTAGGATACATAATGGTTGAGTTCATTAGTATAAAAGACGTGATTAATTTTATAATTATTATAAACTTTTAAATTTGTAATATTTATAAAACTAACCCTACCATTTCGCCTAGTTTTTAGCTACCCTCAATCGTTGATCTACGAAGTGATGGATCAAATTAGTTTCCGTTTTTTACCTGGGGCCTTTTCTCAGTTGATCCCCCTCCCCCACACACACATATAGAAATCTCTTTTAAACTTGCAAAAAGTGCAATTGAGTCCTAATATTATATTCTCAACATGTTACTTTTGATTTGGTGTTTACTAAACTTCTATTTGTGATATTATTTCAGTGTCGCAATGACTTGGTATTCGATTTAGGGGTGACTTAGCATAAATTAAATAATTTTTTTTGAAAAAAAAAATAATTAAAAAAAAACTATTAGACGAAGACATTTAGGGCCCGTTTACTAACTCGAGAATGAGAGAATATAAAATAAAATACATGTTTACTGGCACAATTTTTCATTTTGAGAACAAAAAACATTTTCTAGTTTTTTAGAAACCTAGAGAATTTTTAAATATTGTTTTCTAAATGGAAAACAACATCATTTATTATCTGTTTGGATATATATCAGTATATCACTATAACCACATTCTAACATTTATCTACTTACATATTTATTCTTTACCATGATTACATTCATGCATTATTATATTCTTTTACTTATCACCATCTCCTATCTTTTCTACTTGCATTTACTTATATAAACATAACTTTTTTTTAGATCAATAAGGAGGGGGAAACCCAGGAACAAAGCTACCAGTTCCTCTCTCAGGTTACTCTAAGCCCAGAGGCTTAAACAATCATCTTCGAGGTCTGAGCTCCGTGGTAGTGCCCACACTAAATCTCGCCATTTTGACAATGTCATCCATCACCCAATTTTGCTCCCGGAAAATGTGACTCACTCTAATATCCCAAGCTTTATCCATCCAAGACTTGCATTTCTCCACAATCTCCTTCATACTCCCCCTTGGGCTGGAACCTCCGTTAATCCAATTGATAGCTTATTGTGAGTCGCTTTGCACAATCAGATTTCGGACCCCTTTTGTCCAAGCCCATTCCAAACCAAAATAAAGGGCTTATAGCTTCGCTTCAGTAGCACCTTCCATTATGATCTATTAGCACTCCTCCACGGCAACACTGCTATCAACATTAAAAGACATGCAACCTTCGTCAGGTCTTTGCCATTTAATTGCTCGCATGGCATTATCTCCCTGATTAGAAGTATTCTGGTTTCTAAAGGCCATCTCAATTTCATCGCTTTTGTCTAAAATCCACCTCACTCTCTGTTCATCTTCGTGATCCATGTTGTTGAAGGTCATGTCGTTGTGCCACCTCCATGACCACCAACAAGCTACACTGTTGGAAAATAGTCGCAACGCGCGATCTGGAAGCCTTTTAAGAAGCACAGACACTATGGGTGTATGGTTGAAAGGAAATCTGTGCCGTGTGCCCGTGTTATAATAACACTACCTTAAAAGCGTTATTTGCCCGGTACGGTGCAGTTAGAACCCAGACACGCTTTCGACATGCTACACAGACCTACTACGGATAGCTTGCACTAGCAATCACGTAGGCAAACCTCACTATATATTGCTCAGACTAAGGGAGAGAGAAGGAGAATAGAATAAGTGACTTGAAGTCAGGTGTGTTTTCCAAATATGATAAGAGCTGCTTTATATAGTAAGCAGCTCTCTCATATTAGCCATGCAAAGAGACAAACGATGATGTCCACAAATTTGCACCAAACACGCTGGCCACAAAATGGAGATCACGTATACTAATTCAATTCTCCATATTCTTCTATGAATTTTTCCAACAATCCCCCACAAATTTAAAGAGGAAAGGAAAAAAGATAATGTCCGAGCAATACAAATGAGTTGGTCTTAATGCCAATGTTTTAGAACTTGAACTGACACGTAGTGACACTGAGTAATTTTCTTCCCGAGAGTGATATGGATCTTGAACTCACCGGTTAGATAAACTTTGAACTCTAATGCACACACCAACTCAAAAGACAGGTTCTACGAAAGTCAAACTCTTTGACTTCTTATGAACACCCTTAGTATTAAAGAATGTTATGTATGTCTCAATATAGACTTCTATCCTGTCAAAGTCTATCTCAACATATACTTTTAACTCTGATAAGTCTTACCGCATTACAGATTTTTATGTCTTGTCAAGTCCATCTCAATATAGACTCCTAACTCTATCAAGTCTATCTTAGTATAGACCACCATTAAAGGCTCATAGAGTAGTTAAAGACACAAATCAGTTGTAAGTCTTTTCTTTCTATCATAGGCACTGTTATTTGCAATGCAAATCGACAGTTTGTGAATCACAATGTAGTGAAGGTGTTGGGCACCCCCACAATTGCACGGTTATCAACATGTTTCTTAGCCACTCAGCTTCTTGGGATACCCCCATTATCTTTCATAAGATGCGGTTAACCCTTTTCCACTCAAGTCAGTGATCTCTTTAAGTCTACCTCAAAATAGACCACCACAATTGAGTATAAGTCACCAAGAGCACTTTTGTACTCATGTCATTATGCGGTGAATTCATTAGGTTTGTCTCAACAAAATCACCCTTTTCAAAGAGTTATGAATTCATTAAGAGCTATAGCTCAACCTCACAAGTACACACATTGTAGGAATGACCAACTAGTGTACTATTTTGTAACTCTTTTCATGGCTTCGTTTGACCACAAAAGTGGGACCCACCACGAAATCATTACCACTTGGACTTTAAGTCCTTCCAATGACTCATCGACTAATCATCATAATTAGCCCTCAAGTAAGTTGATTCTCTTGATCAAACTTACATGCACTTTGACAAGTACTTCATTTACTCATAAATAATCCCTTGAGATTTTCATGCTTAACATGAAACATTCTCTTTTACCATTATTGTTGGTACCGCAGAAAAACTTTTAGGAAATAAATATATATAAAGAGTTAATTACCCCCACAATGCAACACTTACAAATATTTTTCTCAAAAGTATTTGATCTCTTACCCAGATTGATCTTTGGTGCCCAACATTGGCTCCTCTGTAGACTGAGTTTTTTCGATTTGCTTTGTGGAGCATTATAGTAGCTTCGCGCTTTGCCTGATACATACTCAATAGTTGAATATATTTCAACAAAATTGGTTATCTCAACCCATCATAATTACCCTTTAAACAAGAATTATAGGTCTTTCAAGATGACTCAACCAAGAATTTAAATAATGTATATATATATATATATATATATATATATATATATATATATATATATATATATATATATATATATATTATATACAAATGTTCATTGTTAGTAAGCCATAGAGATAATGTTGTCCACATGATACTTCAAGTTGAACAACATAATCACAAAATTTCACTTCATATTCTTAAAAGAAGTTTATCTCATACGCAAAGAATATGTT